AAGAAACCATTAAAGTTCAGAATTTAGAGGGCTGAAATCTGGAGAGGTAAGGAAATGTGTCATAAATGTATCTGTGTATGGGTGGAAGGACTTCGAGGATATAACAAAATAAGAGGGGCATTGTAGGAAATAATATAGCAGATATAGGAAATGATGTAATCATAGTGCAACAGACAGTCTGTCTATTTTTTCATTTATTTGTCGAGTATTCACTGCATAACCACCACTGTGCTCAGCTTAGAAATGATGAAATCGACCCTTGATTTCACAGACTAGTGGGAGAAACAGACAAGAAAATAGATGTTAACGTTTTAGTGATAAGTGGTATAATAGATTATAACAATGCATAAATATTGCCATCATAACACCTTATAACAGAATTCCCTCTGGGGAAGAACTTGACCTGGGGGAGTTGTGTTGATATGCTGCTTAGGATAATGCATGATGCATTTGAGTTGCATTCATATTGTTTTATGTATCAACAGTTAATTCCTTTTTACTGCTGAGTAGTATTCCATTGTGTGGATGTACCATAGTTTCATTATCCACTAACTACTAGATTATTTGGGTTGCTTCTGCTTTTTAACAATTATTAATAAAGCCACCATCAGTATCTGAGTGTAAGTTTTTGTGTGAACATAAATTTGGATTTATCTTGAATGAATATTAATATGTTAACATAAGTATGTTTAACTATGTGAAATGCTGCCAAACTGTTTCCCATCTTCAGAGAATAAACTTCTGGTTTTTGGTTTTATTTCCCAGTCACCCTTATAGGGTTTGGCTGGGTCTCCATCCAAATCTCATCTTGATTTGTAGCTCCCATAATTGCCACGTGTTGTGGGAGAGACACAGTAGGAGATAATTGAATCATGGAGGCGGTTCCCCCACACTGTTCTCATGGTAGTGCATAAGTCTCACAAGATCTGATGGTTTTATATGGGGTTTTCCCTTTTGCTTGGCTCTCATTCTCTCTTGCCTGCCACGAGATAAGACGTGCCTTTTGCCTTCTGCCGTGATTGTGAGTCCTCCCCAGTCACGTGGAACTGTGAGTCCATTAAACCTCTTTTTCTTTATAAATTACACAGTCTTAAGTATGTCTTTATCAGCAGCATGAAAACGAACTAATTTGTGGCAATTTGTGATGGCAGTCTTAGGAAACTAATCCACCTAATAATGATATAAGCACTTTTACATATGCTTGCAATCTGAATGTCTTCTTTGGTGAAATGTCTCTATAGTTCTTCTGCTTTTTTTTCAAATAACTTGGATGCTTGTTTTCTTATTATTGGGTTTTACAATTTGGTATAGTTTCAGACACAAATTCTTTATCAGCTATATAATTTTAAAACCCTGTCTTCCAGTCTGTGGACTTGTCTTTTTACTTTCTCAATGGTATTTTTCACAGATTATGTTTAAATTTGAATACAATTTAATGATCTTTTTTTTTTGCTTTTTTTTAGCAGCGATTTTGGTGACTTATCTAAGGACATGTTGTGCAATCTAAAAATCACAGAGATTTTCTCTTTTGTTTTCTTACAGAAGTTTTATGGTTTTAGGTTTTAGAGTGAAAGGTGTTATACATGTTAAGTGAATATTTTGAAAGATCTGAAGTATGAGTTGAAGTTAATTTTTGCTTTCTTGCTTAGAGTCATCCAGTTTTTCTAGCATCATTTGTTGAAAAGATTATCTTTTTTCTTTGAATTATATTAGTACCTTCGTCAAAAATCAATTGTGTGTATATATATATGTGTATATATACTCCATTTTTCTACATATCAATCTTTTCACAAAAAACACAATTATGATTACTGTAGTTTAGATATAATAAGTTTGAAGTCACTTAAAGCAAGTCTTACAGCATTATTCCTCATTTTCAGAATGGTTTGACTATTCTATTTCCTTTGACATTCAAGTATATTTTATAATTAGCTTGTTGATTTCTATTTAAAAATCCTGCCAGAATTTTGTTCAAAATTGCATTAAATCTATAAATCAACAAAGGGAGAACTGACATCTTAATAATGAACATAGTATATCTTTCTAATTATTTCAGTCTTAGCCCTTTTGTTAGTGCTTTGTCATTTTCAGTATAGCTTACTAACTGCGATTTTAAGCAAAATGATGTAAAACAAAACTCATTTTTTCTCATCAACATCATAACAAAACATTGAAGAAAACAATGTTATTTGAGAACCTGCTGTACATTGTTTTACTTAAAGTCACAGTCACCAAGAACCTACTGACAATGTTAAGTGAGGACTTACTGTAAATAAGTTTTGCACTTAATTTTAAAGATTTATACCTATTTCATGTTGTTTATACATTTTTAATGTTGTTTGGTGCTATGATAAAAAAATACTACTTTTAAATATTGATTTCTATTTAATGCTAGTATATAGAAAGACAATTGATTTTGGTATAATTTTGTTCCATAATCACAAAAGCTTACTTACTAGTTCTAAGATAATTTTTATAGGGTCTTTGGGATTTTCTACACAAATAATCATATCATCTACAAAGAGAAATATTTTTATTCCTTCATTTTTAACCCATATGTCTTTTATTTATTTTCGTTGTTTTATTGCAATCACTAGTATTCCAGTACAATGCTGAATAGGAGTGACAGGAGCTGCCACCCTTGCCCTATTCCTGATCTTTGTAGAATGAATTCAGTCCTATGTACACAGTTTTGTAGATAACCTTTACCACATTGGAGATATTATTTTCTTTTGCTAATTTTCTGAGAATTATAACTTCTTATATAATTTTTAATATAATTTTTCTGCACTTAGTATTTACTCATTTATTGTCTTTTAGCTTATATTTTATTGTACTATTTTTTTTCTTGTGGTTGCATCAGAGACTACAATGTATACAGCTTCCCTTTCATACTCTATGTATGTAGAGATAACATTTTGTGATACCAATAAAATTTAGAAATCTTACAAGTATTTAGGCTCCTCCTTTATCTTGTAGTTGCCATACATACATATACAAACAACTTCAGTGGACACTGCAATAATTTTTGCTTTCAATAGTCATGTGTATTTTATAGAATTCAAGGGAGAAATGTCTTTTATATTAACCCAGATAGTCACTATTTTTCATGCTCTTTCCTCATTTCTAAACTTTGAAGTTTCTGTTTAGTATAATTTCCCATCAGCCTGGAAAACTTGCCTTAGCATTTCTTTTAGAGCAGATTTGCTGGTGACAAATACTCTGTTTCCTTTCATCTGTGAATGTTTCTATTTCATCTTCTTTCATGAAGGATATTTTCAATGTATATAGAAGTCTTTGTTGATAGCTCTTCTCTCTTAGCATTTTAAATTTGTTGTTTCACTGTCTTATGGCCTACATGGTTTCTGACAAGAAATAGAAAGTAATTTACATTTTGTCCCCCCTATGTAATATGTTAGTGTTTTCCATTTGCTTTCAAGATGTTTTCTTTATCTTTAGTTTTCATCAGTTACATTGTTATGTGTCTAGATGGTCTTTTAGTTTTTAATTTATTTGGGGATGGGGAGTTCATGGTTGTTGAATCTGTAAGTGTATGATTTTGCAGATTTAAAAATTTATTTGAGTCTATCTTTAAGTCCACTGACTTTTTCCTCTGTCATCTTCATCTGCTATTGAGCTCTATTAGTGAAAAAAATATTTCAGATATTTCATTTTTGCATTCTAAATTTTTTTTCTTTTCTTTTTCTTGAGACGGAGTCTTGTTTTGTTGCCAGGCTGGAGTGCAGTGACACCATCTCGGCTCACTGCAACCTCTACCACTCAGGTTCAAGGGATTCTCCTGCCTCAGCCTCTTAAGTACCTGGGATTAAAGGTGCATGCCATCCCATTCGGTTATTTTATTTTATTTTATTTTATTGTATTTTTAGTAGAGTCGGGGTTTCACCATGTTGGTCTGGCTGGTCGTTAACTCCTGACCTCGGGTGATCCACCTGCCTGGACCTCCCAAAGTGCTGGGATTACAGGCATGAGTCACTGCTCCCAGCCCTACCTGGTTATTTTTTATAGTTTCTCTTTCTTTGCTGAAAACGGTTATCTTTCCATTTATTTCAATTGTGTTTATCTTTATATTACAGAGTATAGCTATAGTAGCTGGTTAAAGTTTTGGCCTAATAATTTCTATTTCTCTGCTAAAACAGTTATCTTTCCATTTATTTCAATTGTGTTTATCTTTATATTATAGAGTATAGCTATAATAGCTGCTTTAAGTTTTTGTCTAGTAATTTCAACATCTGGGTCATCTCACAGGTGTCATCTGTTAGTCTTTTCTCTAGATAACCTATAACATTTTCTTTCTGGTTCTTTGTATACTGAATCACTTTTAATTGAAAATGTGTTATGCTGCATGGATACCAGGTCCTGTTAAAATCCTTTCGAGAATATGGATTTTTGTTATTGTTTTGGCAGGCAATCAACACAGTTTGGTTCAAATTTTAACTTCTATCTTTCTTCTCTACATGATATTTCTAATGTCAGATTAGTTTTCAAAATCGTTTCTATGCTAGTCTGCATCTGTCTTACACAGAAAGCTTAGTGTTAAGGCCAGGACTTTTGCAGGTCCACACACAGCCTTACGGGTTCCTATTATACAGATGTCTTCTCTCTGATATTTATCCTCATCCTTCAGGTTTTAGGGATTTTTTGGGGGGAAAGGGGTGTCTGTAGCCAAAAATGAGGGATTCTTTCTGTTGTAATGCTCTTTCCACTACTGCAAAAATTCAACTGCGGTCTCTCAAGAGAAAATGAATAAATAAATAAAGCAATGGGGCCTCATGCCTTTTCAGGGCACGTCTTCAGTTTTTGACTCCCCTCCCTAGTCTGTCTGTTTTTGTTTAATGTTTAATAAGTTGCTCTTGAAAAAATGTTGTCTAGAATTATGGGCTTTAATCACCAGGAGAGAATATCTGTAGGGGTTTGCACTATCTTAGCCAGAAAGTTTATATTTCGTTATTTTTTATACATATTTGTTTTTATTTCTGTACAGGGAATAACTAAGTCCACTTTGGAAAAAAAGATTAAGTGTCCATGAAGGGAGCCTGTGAATGATGACATGCAAAGGTAGGTTGGCACTGATGACAGGCCCACCTAAGATCCCTGGATTTCTATTTAGTAGGTTACAGAAAGCTATAGAAGTATTTTCATTGAAATGCCTAAGTGTGGTGGCAGCCCTCAAAATGGTCTTGCTGCTGCCTTTTTTTTTTTTCTCTTTTTTTAAAAACCATTCTGAAATAGAAGTGAAATAATTTCAAGCTTGCTTCCATATTCTTGTCCTGGCACCAATCTTATTTCCCCAGAAGGCGTTTCTATTACTGAAAGTGGCATTCAGGCACTGACGACCACACATTTCCTTATTATGCATTGCATAACATAAGAAAAAAGACCAATAAAATTACTGGTCCTACTTATTGTGAGCCAACAGCATTTGGGGCAGGGCTGACTTTATGCTACATGGATATATCTCTCAGGTAATATGGCCAGAGGTTAATTTATGAAGCATTACATAGTGATATCTATGTGTAACAATAAATGTAGTAAGTATTTGGATAAAATACAAAGCCTTTACACTTTCTCTATTACTTAACTGATGTTTTAGGACAATCTATTGTTAATATAGGTGCTTCTGATAAATAACTGTAATATCAGATATTGAATTGGCACCTATTCTAGATACCTGCCTTAGGCTGTGGTTGCCAGAAATAGACTATGAGACAAAATTTATATGAAGAAGGTTTACTGAGGTGTGCTCTTAATCAACACCCATGAGGAGTGATAGTAATAGGATTGGCCAGAGGGAGTTGAACAGCAATGCGATTGCTACCAAAGCCCCCGCAATCCCTCAGGGAACTCTGGAGCTAAGATGGTCTTTCAGAGATGTCCCACATTGAAGCAAGGAGTGGGCCTTTGTACTCTCTTCCAGACTAGTGAGTGGAAGGAGATTGTCCAAAGGGACTAAGTGTAACTTGGGACAAGGGAGTTTTCTTTGGCAGAGGAATTCCCCAAGTGGAATTCAGCTGTGCACTTTTGAAGCCAACATTTCAGACATCTAGGGAAATAGGCACCTGTGTATTAGTCAGTTTTCCATTTCTTATAGCAGGATACTTGAAAATTTTATATATATATATATATGAAGTAATGTGTTTCTTATAGTTATGGATGCTGAGAAGTCAAAGGTCAAAAGGCTGCATCTGTTTCGAGCCTTCTTGCTGGTGGAAACTTTGAAGAGTCCCAAGATGGCACAGGTAATCACATAGAGAGGAGGCTGAGCATACTAGCTCAGGTCTCTCCTCCTCTTTTAATAAAGCCACCAACCCCACTCCAATGATAACCCATTAACCCATTAATTCAGTAATGTATTAATCAATGAATGGAATACTCCATCCATGAAAGCAGAGTCTTCATGATCCAGTGACATCTTACTGGCCCCATGCTCAGGCAGTACTGCCACGTTGGGGTTTAAATGTCAACATAAGTCAGGTACAGAGGTTCATGCCTATAATCCCAGCACTTTGGGAGGCCAAGGTGGGTGGATTGCTTGAGTCCAGGAGTTCGAGACCAACCTGGGCAACATAGAAAAATCCCGTCTCTAAAAGAAATACAAAAATTAGCTGGGCATAGTTGTGTGTGCCTGCGGTCCCAGCTACTCAAGAAGCTAAAGTGGAAGGATCACTTCAGCCAGGGAGGTGCAGGTTGCAATGAGCCAAGATCGCACCACTGCACTCCAACCTGGGCAACAGAATGAGACCTGTCTCAAAAGCAAACAAATAAAAACAACAACAACAACAACAGCAATTCAACATGAGTTTTAAAGGGGACAAACATTCAAACCACAGCAATACCTAATCCTGAATAAGGATCTGAAGGGTGTACCACAACATTTATGACAGTGCCTTAAATCAACGTGTCTTCTCACCTATAAAAAGGAGATAATGATCCAAGTCAGCCTCATAGAGGGTAATTTTTTTATTTTGGGATATGTATATATTTAGATATACATATTATATATGTTATATATAATATATTACATATTCTGAACATATTATCTCACACAAAAATGAACTCTCAATAAATGTGAGATATTTTTCTTATTTTTTTTCATAGGGTAAGCCTATGTATGGATATTCATAATTGAGAAGTTTCATTTTAATGTCTTCTGGGAAACTGAGGTAAGGCAAAGTTAATGCCTTGCCTATTAATATCCAGACAAGAAGATTGTCCGTATTTCTCCCTATGTCCTTGCTGTTATTCTTCTCTATGGCAGTTCTTCATATCAAATCCTGTGGGATTTCAACTCAAATCAAATCACCCAGACCTTCAAATGTTGTTTCTTTTTTTATATTTGTTTGTATGCTTAATTATTCTTTGTTTGTTTCCCCTACAATTTGGCTTTTTGCCTCCATCAAGATCAGTTTGTGTATTTCCTATTTCCTAGGAGGGTGAAAAGAAAAGAGACTGCATGTTCTGACATGTCCTGTTAAATTAAAAAGAACGTGAGTTTAAAATAGAAGTAATTTTAACACATGCAGATATCCACATGCTGCAGAAACAATTCTATTGTATTTTTAAAACATTAAAAAACAGAGAGAGAAGAAAAGAGGAAGAGAGAGAGAGACACACAGAGAAAGAAAGAGAGAGAGAGAAAGGAAAATAAAATTAGTCCATATTAGAATGAGCACAACTGGGGCCTTGGCAAAGCTAACACAGACACATCCCTGCCAGTGTACGACAGAGCACAAAGGGTCTGTTTTCGCTGATCATCACGAATCCCTGAGACCTCTAAACATGTTCTTTTAAATAAGAATGAGTAATACTGCAATTTTTCTTTCACAAGTGAGTCAATACAATCTGACACATACCATTAAGTTGAAATTTTGGAGGTATTTTTATTTCTGTTAGATGAAAGTTGGCGTATATGTTTTTTTTTGTTGTTGTTTCATCGTTTTTGGGTTAGATGATGATTTCGCCTGTTTTTGTGTGTTTGTATATGTGTGTTTCTGTGTATGTGTGTGTGTGTATATTTCTGTGTGATTCTAGGGGAAACTAGAACAGAAAAATTTACAGCTGCTTATACCCTGTTTCATTCGACAGAGGAGACTGGGGTTTCTGTTTCTTCTATCTATTTCCCGACTCATTTCCAACATGCCTCTACTACCGCAATTGTCACAGCAACAATATTTTCTGTATAGCAAAAAGATTTCCCAGTTCACCTATTTCAAGAAAGTGATTTCTAGGCTAACAAAAAATGAGTACAATCTCTCGGCTGGCTGCAGTAGAATCATGGAGAAGTAAAATTTAACAATAAGCATAATCTAGAAAAGACATTTACCTAGCCTCAGCTTCACGGATACTCAAAATCTGTTCTACTTTGCTTTATCACTCCTTTTACGTAAGGAACAGTGAATACGTGGACATCCATTGTTTCTGCATGTTTCAAATAGATCCTCTTTCTTCTGAAACAACACTCTGCTATCCCTTTGGTGAGCCACTCCTCCCTCATCTCGGTCCTTCAGCTACTAACTTTAACCACAGTTTTGTGGGGACACAGAATCAGGCTTAGCAAAAAAAGTATATTCTTTTACTTCAAAGCCTAGGTCATCCAATGATAACCTCAGGCCTTTTGCTAGAATTTTGGGGAACATGAAGCCCTCTTTCTACCTGGTGAGCAGCATTTACGGGATAGTTGCCAGATGTTGATGGTAATCTTACTATCTTAGTAAGAAAAGAGCCTGCCTGAGTTTGGAATTGGGATAGAAGAAAGCAGAGATGAAGACAGACCAAATCTGATGACATTGTTTGGGTACTGGGACTCATTCAACCACACCCAAAGAAAATTCTGTCACTATACTTTTTGGTTATGTGAGCTCATCGACTTGATTTAAGGCAAAGTGAAGGTTTTTTGTTTTGTTTTGATGCAAAATAGAAAAGTTCCTGATAAAATAAGGTTATGTTTGTATATTTGATCCATATATTCATTACTCATCCAAAAATAATTAGAGCTTGAGGGAACATTACTTTCATAGTATTTCTTGGAGTTCTCTGTTCTATCACTAACTCCCCCTCCCCCATAGGCAAAGATGAGCAGCTTAATCTGACTGGTGATTTTGCACGGAGTACAGGGCTGTGTATTCTCTGTTGTTTTTTTTTTTCTTTAATGACTGTCTCATCATTTATTTAATTAACTTTCAATTGTGAGACATTTATGGTAACCAATTTTCTTACAACTAGAGATAATATTAGGATGACAACCTTGTGCATTAATCTTTGTCCATCAACCCCAATTTCCCTAGAATACCTAGAAGGAGAATTCTCCTAGGTATTCTAGAAGAATTGGTGGGTCAAAGGGTGAAAACACTTTTAAGCCTACTTTCCAGCTTTATTAAGGTAGAGTTGGAAAATAAAAATAGAATTTTTTAAAGTCATACAACAATAGGATGTTTTGATATAAGTATATGTTGTGAAATGATTACACAATCAAGCCAACTAACATATCCATCATCTCACTTCGTTGCCATTGTTTTATACGTATGAGAACACTTGAGATCTACTGTATTAGCAAATGGAAAATGCACAATATATTATGACTAACTATAGTTGCCATTCTCAACATTAGGTCTCCGGAACTTATTTATCTTGTAACTGCAACTTTGAATCCTTTGACTAACATTTTCCCTAGTTCCCCACCCACAGCCCCTGGTAAACAGAATTCCACTAACTATTACTATGAGTTCAACTATTTTACATACATGCAATATTTGTCTTTCTGTGTCTGGTTTATTTTACTTAACATGATGCCATTCAGTTTCTTCCACATTATCACAACTGGCAGGATTTCCTTCTTTTTAAAGATTTAATAATATTCACACACACACACACACACACACACACACACCTCATTTCCTTTATTCGCTCACCTGTTGACAGACACTTGAGTTGTTTCCATATCTTGGCTACTGTGGATAGCTCTCCTTCTCTCAGAGAGTCAATAATCTTTCTTTGGGCCATACAGAAAACTTATCACGAAAGTCCGTCTTCCCCCATGGTGAAGCTGCAATTTTTCAGTGTTGTTTTTGACTGAAAGACAGCATAAGGCTGTCTATTCTGAGATTTAGGGACACCCACTTGCCTAACCATATAAACTTCATACTCTAATATACACACTATCAGGGTGAAGGTTGCATTTTGCATTATACCTATCTGGCTTTATGTATATCTCTAAGTGAACTCATAACCCAAGCAGGCAAGGGAAGTGTTACCTATTGCTGCCCACAACAACTTCCTACCAAATTCCAACAAGATGATATGTATAGAAAACACTTAGATGAACAAACCCATTACATTATTCAGGAATACCAAAGAACCCACTCCATTTGGAATACAACATACAAGTGGGCAAGTGGAGGAGTTGAGGGTATATAGTCAGAGATCAAATTATAAAGGGCCTTCTATGAAATATCAAGAAGGATGGAACTCCATTGTATGTGTAATGTTGAGCCACTGAAGAATTTTAAATGAGTGTTAGACATTTTCCAAAGAATAGTCAGGCATGAGTTTGAAAAATGAAATGAAGGGTGAAGAACAGAGGACAGAGAATACAGTACAGTGAGCTGGTGTCCTTACCTACATAATAACTATCGTGAAGACAAGAAGTTCATCACCAAGACACAGCACTTAGCTAATGTCCAAAACCCAATTAGCCTCAATGTGAGTATGTGTGTATGTGTTAACCAGTAAAGAATGAATCATCAGATTTTAAAAAATGAGACCAAAAAAATAGTGTAGTAAGGGAAAGCATGGCATTAGATCTGGACCTAAACCTCCTAAACCTGAGCTCTCAAGTTCATATTTGCTAGTTCACGAATAGTCTAAGTAATAGGCATTGGCTAGATTTCATAAGGACAAACTATTCAGCTAATATTTATTGAGATCATTCAATATGCCAGATTCATTTCTGGATGCTAGATCTAGTTTTAGGATCTAGGCCACTGACTTAAATTATTTAATGAACAAAGAAAAGAGGGAAGATAATCATGACGATCCTGGAATGATCAAAAAGGGGCTATGGAAAATGGCGTCATAAAAGTTTAGAAATAAAAAGTTTCAAGAAGGAGGGGTGGTTAAGAGTATCAAATATTACAGAAAGATGAATAATTTAATAAGTAAAAATTGCTCTTTGGATAGGTCAAGAAGTCAATGAGGCTCTAAGTTAGAATAGCAGAATCATTTTTTGAAAGGTCAGGGCACA